TGGCACCTGAGGCGTGCAGCGGGCCACTGCTCCCGGCTCCCCGCGAATTTTAGGATATTTTCAAATAAAAATTAAAGTGTCTCAGTAAACACTCTCTAATTAGGCAGACGTAGTCTTTGTCTCTTTTCACAGTTCAGTGAATATTTGGTGGTTTTTATTTTAATCCCTTTATTTCAAGTTGTGATTCAAGACTTCGCCGAAAACCGTGAAATACCAAATGTATTTCCTCATCAGCTGCCGGCAGCGCTTCACGAAGGAATACTTTTCAAAATACTTTCATTTGATTACGGGGTTTGCCTTTTCTAATTTGACAGCAAGGGAATCAAGATACACAAAGACAATGTTGTATCTGCCTGTTTAAGAACCCGCCCACGACTCCTGAAATTTACATTAACAACAAAGTTGACTTCAGCTATTTCAGGCGGCGCCTGGACAGATATGCCCTTTTCCACACTGAGCAAACGCGGGCCCCGTCCTGGAGCCTCGCACGCCCGCCGATGCCTGAGGAGCTTCCAGTAAGTGCAGATAAACAGTTCTCGTAGCATTAAAATAACAACTGCCCCTGGTACGAGATGCCCAGGCTTCTTTTCTTTCCCACCCTGTGTTGACTGTCCCTGCCCTACAGCTCTTTGCTATGCCTCAGCTCTGCGCCCCTGAGGGGCCCGGGGCTCTTTGGGGCGCTGCGTTCCTCGCAGCCTGCCGCGGGCCCTGGCCTGAGCGCTGCTCCCCTCCAGGGAGGTGCTGCTCCCCTCCAGGTGCTGCCAGGGCCCTGCTGGGGCTCCTTGGGGTGTGCCAGGTGCTTCTCGTCTGGTGTCACAGAGGTCTTCCCACCTCTGTGTCTTTTACGGCTCCTTTCCAGTGTCGTCACTGCTCCTGTCCCCTCTGATTACCTTCAGGTACCAAAGACTGATGAAAATTGACTATTACAATATAAATTTTCTATTCTGCCTTCTGTCCATCTGAGAGAAGTGTAGGTAGTTTCTGACTTTATCTATAGTATACAGTTTACAGTGGCTTTGCCCTTATTTCCACATGTTCTGCTATAGGCCTGCAGGTTTTCTGAATAGAATAAGTACCTACAACCTGTATAATGCCCAAGTTTTTAATATGTCTGTATTTAAATTTAGATTATATACTTGTGAGTCAATAACAAAACCAACTCAAGGAACACAATTTCAGACAATGCACATCAGGGATGATAAATAAAGGAGCCAGTCAAAGAAAGGATAAAATTGATGTACTGTAGGCTTGAATATTAAGGCTGTTGTCTGAGTTATACTAATTTTCCAAAGTTTTACCATGCTCTTGGAGATTTTTATTTCTGTTTGAGAGAAATATTGCAAGATGCTTTAATTGGATTTTTTTCTTATTACAGCTTTTTATTAGCTCATTAATCAAGCTTAAGAATATTTTTAGATTCCTTGCTGGCAGTGCTTATCTTTCTGTGCTTTATATTTGGAGTATCAATCTGTAAGGAAAAGGTATTCATTGTCCTTCACTCTACAAAAAATATGCATTGCATTTAACAGTCGGTTGGAGGTTTAATCATCAAAAGGACCCCTGCTAAAACAAAATAGGAGACTGCTCTGTGATTACTTTCAGCTGCCCACCACGCCCTCTCCGCCAGCTGTCCCTAACTTCTGTTAAAAGAGCTGAGTAAGTAAATGCATCTTCAGGGCACCTTCCCACCCATGCTGAGTCCCAGGGGCTTGCCAGCACCTCTCCCCTGCATTGTTTAGCAAAAAGAGCATTTTACAGACTCAGGGATTTTGTGCTCATTTCCTGCTGTAGGACCAGAGATGACTTAAAATAGTTGAGTAGTTGTTCGACTCAAAGATATTGCAGATAGTGTAAATACAGACTGCACTTAGCAAAGGGGATTTGCAGGTTTCTCTTGAACTTTTATTTCAGAATTACATTGCTGTAGATCTTATTTTTTCTTCATTTCCATGTGTGTATATTCACAGGCTGTATGTTTCCTGGGCACCAGGAATTGTGCTCAGGGATTTACACATATTACTGCAGATAACCTTTACTGAACCTGTGGAATGAGATCTTGGCAATAATTAAGTCAATATATTAGATGTTGTACCATGAATATTGTTGCCCCACTTATTTAAAGGAATAGGTATTGCACTGAAACAATACTTGACAATCTTTTGGTAAAGAAATTGTAACATTTTGCAAAATATGGGGTTTTTTTCTAAATTCCTATGCAGTTTTCATGAAATATTCTAGCTTTCCAGGCCCTCCTACTCAGGAACGCTAAGTGGAATATTCTCATATGCTGGGGTTGAGCTGCAATCGCCTCCAAATTTTATTTATTCACTTAAATCCAAAAAGCTATTTTGTATTACAAAAACGTCAATATTATTCCTACTTGCATTTTCTCTTTTTCTTTGGTAAGAGTGTTGATCTTAGCTAGTAATCCCTTCCAGAGTTGCTTTTCCTTGAACAAATTAAATTTACAAACACCGAAGCAGAACCAAGCTATTCCTTTGCTCTTATGTGCAGGCTGCATGTGATCCCTTTAGGCCACAATACCACGTTGAATACTTAATGTTGACTTGTCAAGTTTCACCAACTGCACAGTGATATGGACAGGATTAAATCTTGTTTTATTTCACCATCTCCCTAGCCAGGCAGCAGCAGGGCATGGAGGGCTCCTGGTGTTTTACTCTGTTCCACCACTGCAGTGCAAATAAGCGTGTTAGTGAATCTGCTGACATTCAGCACCTTGACGCAAATGAGAACGTTTCTCTAGCTCTGAAATGGATTGTCAAGTAGCATTCTTGTCAGGGTTGTGTAGTGCATAAGCAGAAGTCATTATGTTTACACCCAGAAGATATTTTGATGGTGAATTAAGGGCTGACCTTCATATCATACCATTTATTAGAGCAAGCTTTTTAGTAAGCTCCATTTAATGGCTTAGAATAAGGTTAACTATTTATGTTCCGTGCCTGGACTCACAAGGAAGTTGGAACATTAAAACTCTCTACATTGTGAGCTGCTTAGCTTTTCAGCTGCCTTTTGATTTGTGGTTGAAAGGTAATTGTTAAGTTATTGTGTTATTTTTGTTGTTGTTAATTTAAATTGGGAAGATTCTTTAATTGGAATATTGTAAAATGATTCATCTGTCAGATGGTGGATATCCTGCAAGCTTATTTGTTTCAGAGACTACCAGACTGTTTTTCCTTTCTGACTGCCCAAAGGAAATTACAATGTAGTGTATTCATAATCATGTTATCTCTTTTATAGCTGCAGATGATTTTTATGGCATTGCAGCTGTACAAACCCCTGATCAATATCTGGAGATGTGCTATCCTTTTAAGTTACGTTCCTGTCAAAATTTTAGACATGAAAATATTCCAGGTGAAGCACTATTTGGTCTCATATATTTTACAATATCTAAAACCAGTCAAGCTTCATTAGAATGAAAGCATCATTTTTTGGGGATGGTGGGGTGGGGGGGTGTAATACTTTGCATTGTTGTGAAATAGAGTCTATCTGTTCTAATATAGCATTGTCTTTTCTGCTGAAAAAATGGTTTCCTCTTTTCAAATAAATGCTGCTGTCCTAGTTTTTTGAGGAACTGTATATTTAGCAATCTGTACTGTATGGCATGAAATACTAGAGTATCTCCTAGTCAGAAAGTATGCAAAAATATTCATACATTAAATACATATCAAGGCTTATTGAAGCAGTTTGATACGGGAGTTGGAATTCTCTCTGGTTTTAATTTTTCTCATACCTACTTTGGAACTCTAGGTAAAGAGAAACAGATTAATAGTGTACTTCAACTTTTCCATTTATCAATGACCAGATGTAATCCTGTTTATTAATCCAAAACAATTGACAATGGTTGATATGAATGTTATTTCTTTACAAGTGTCTGTTTATAATCCATTTCTCTTGAAGAATTGTGTATTTCAGCTGGTGCAGTGTAATGGCTCTGAAAACACTGTGCAAACTGGTCATCATTTTTTGACCTTTAGGCACAGGTTTTGCCACCATTTCAAGGTTTATTAGCCCTTACAGAATTGCTTGGTATGGATTTAGCAATCTTTAATGTTTGCACATGCTTTCAGTGACCCTCAAAACTTTTTAGTAGGTGAGCCTAAGTATGTTTGTGGTAGGTGAGAGTACTTATATCAATACAGACGATGCACCGTGGTTGAATTAACACTCCATATTCGTGATGTTTTAATAGATTTATTTTTTAGATAGCAAATTTGTGTGCCTTTTGCCTTAGTTTATTACTACCAGGATGAATACTAAGAAAGTTTTATATAAGAGTTTTTTTTTTTTTAGTCTTCAAATTCACATCTGAACTATTGATGTAAAATTTCGAACAGCACACAACCTAATTAACAATTTCATACTAATTGATAGAAAGTGACATGTATATTGGTATTCATAAAACATGTAGAAAATTCATATTGCAGCTGTACTGCTGGAGAATCTCTCCATTTTATCTGAGCTCTTTCCATAAAATGCTATAATATAATACTAATTGTAAAGGACAGTGACTCAAGGTCATTCTTGCTAAAAGCTTCCACTTTTTGTTCTACAAAGATCAGAAATTTTTTAAAAAGCCCCATCATCATAATGCAGAAATAAAAGTATGATCATGTTACTAGGTTATGACCCAGAGGAAAGAATGTGAACAGCATGGCTGCAGAGAGGAATTCCAAGTGATGTATGTGAAACTGCCAAAATGAGAATTGCAGCTGAAGGAAGTGAGCCAGCAGTCTAACTACAATCAATATCCAGGTTAAGTAAACAATTACACTCTGCCAGAGCTGGAAGAAAATCCACACAGCCTGACAAGGTACCTGAAGTGTCTTCAGGTATGAATTCTGAATTTACTTCTTGGATAGCTTTCTTGTCATTTGCACAGACTGTTACTGTTGGTTTTTTGTTTTTTGTAATCTATAAAGGAAAAACTGTTCTCACTGTATGAAGAGCTGCTTTTAGGTCCTGGCAAACAAATGATACATTTCAGTTGATAGTGGAGGTTGTTTTAGAAGTCTGGAAACTGATGTGGCTCTGAAGTGACCAAAGAACAATGTATCTTATCAGACAATCCGATTGGTCAGGGAAGCAGGCATATGAATAATTAAACAATACAAAGGAGTAATATTGGGGTCCTTTGTGAGCACTGAGTTTACCCAGCATAGATGTCAAGTTTAAAATGGGAACAGCTGTGTTCACACTATTTGAGGACAGTTTTTTAATCAAAGATTAATGTGGAAAAGCCCTTGTGGGAAAACTTGGCAGTTTGTCTAAGATTCTTCTTCCCTTTGACATCCTCTTCCTCTCCTAACTTTATTTGTTATGAAGTTGCTAAATAGCTCAGAATAGTTTCAACATTGTTAAAAGAGATGCCTAAATCTCAAAAAGAGCTAAGATGGACTTATAGAAGAATTAATGTTTTTTATACTGTGCCTTAAGTAAATCTCTTACCCCTTAGGTAAAACTTCACAGGAAACCTCAAAATTTTCCTGCTAGGATACATACATATAAAACTAGCAGTATAGTAGACAACTGTTCTACTCATGTGCCCTAATTTTATATTTAACCCCCCAAATGTCTTCATTATTTAAAAACAATCTGTTGCTTCTGGTGGATAGTCAAGTGACAGAGTATTTCCCATTGCTCAGAACACATGAAAAGCAACAAACCAGCTACTGTCTGTTCCCTCACCACTGCATGACATGCTTGGGATTAGCTAAGGTTTGTGGTGTATCTGGTGGGAATGCTATATAGCAAATGTGTGCATGAACACAAGTGCACAGGGGAGCAGACTTCAGTAATTTTGTAGATTGGAGTTTTTAAATTTCTTCTTAGCATATCGTAATGTATTTGCATTGTGTACAGTTTTGGAGGCTCTGTGTCTTGAAAACTGAGAAGTATTTGTCTTCAGATACTAAGAACTATTGCCAAATTCTAGAAAAGAATAGCAGGGGAAACAAATTTCAAGACTTTATACCATGCTGTAGTCCAAGAATAGAGTGACTTTGGACAGTATGGTCAGACTGCAGCTGCAAGAGCTCTAGATCAGATGGGAAGGAAGTATTCCAGCAGATGTGATTTACAGTGGCAACACAAGCAGTCATTTGCTTCCTGCAGTTTTCTCTTTTGTGAGAAAATGAAAGAGACCAGATTGGTCTGTGTCTTAGAGGGAAAACAATGGGATTAATTAGGTCATTATTACATCCAGCAGATTTTCCACTTAGGGATGATGTGATAGCAAGGCACTGATGATGTTGACCCTGTGGATTTGCAAGAGAACTTCTGTTTAAAATGAGGTTGGTGGATAGACTGTGGCATTGAAATATTGTGTTCTGGCGCGTTGCAGTGAGCTCTGCAGCTAGCATTGGTACTTGTTTACCACAGAGAGAAAGAGAAAAGCTGTTAGGCAAGATGAAACTGCAGGGGAGAGTAGGTGTATCTCCCCAGCTCCTAGGAATTAATCCCTATCATATTACATGAAAGCTTAAATACATTAAATTTCTCTTCTTTATTCATCTTTCTGATAAGCAATTGCTAGAAGGATGCTGTAGACTTCAAAAAGAAAGACTATAGGAAGGAATATATGAGAACTTAAGAGGCATTTACCACAATATTTACACTTTACCTACTCCACACTCTGAACAAGTTCAGAAATCAGAGAGGTCAGTTCCTTCTGCCATAAGTATGTAATTGTCCTTTTTTTTTAATCCACGAAGCCAGGTTGCATGCTATTTTTGGCTTTGTTGAGCTTCTGAAGTATTAACAGAATAATATTTTCTTTTCTATATGCCCTCTCACTTAAGACAGCAAATGACCATCTGCTAGATTGCATTTCTCAGCCTGTGGCCACATATACTATAATAGTTATTTTGGTGGTCTGCAAAAATTTCTCTTCAAACTGACTTAATGATTTATGCTACCAAATTGTTCACATTTCTAAAGTGTATATGAAACTATTGAAACAGACTAGAATTTGAGATTTTTCTGTTCTCATGTGATTCACATGAGGAAAAAAAGCAATGAACAGGGCACAACTATTGGAAAGGGTACATTTTCCATGTGCAACATCTCTGAAAGCACCTTTGGTTTTGTTTAAGAGACATTCCAGTTTAACCATTCTAGCACCTTTGAGACTATATCTTAGCTGGGCAAACTCTGTTGAGGCCAGACTCAATAGCTGAGTGTAGGGGGAAGGGTCTCAGTGATAAACTCATCTGGTTTTGAGCCAGCTGGGAATTACTCCAGCTCTTTAGAAGGCTGGAATACTTTAGGAGTGCCTTCATGTGAATTTGTATCTCTGTGTTTCAGAAAGCCCTCCAAGCCACCAGGAGGAATGATACAAGGCTTGGAAGACTTACATTTGGCTCCCATTCCACCAAAAATATCTCACATAATTTCCTATAAGCAGTATGGATTGTGTTTGAAGCCCTGTGCTGATAAGGCAATACAGAAGTGTTTTGTATATAATGCCGCAGCCATTCTTGCCTCCAGCTATTCCCTCTGCTAAAAAGAGTCATTGAGTAGGTTGGAGCAAATCTCCTTCGATATCTCTGTGCCTTTTGAGGGCTTTAGGAGCATCCCCCAAGAAGATTCCTAATTCCTGGGCTTTAGCAGAACCAATTCAGATTATTCACAAGACTACAAATTAGCTGAAGGTTTCCATGAAAATATGCTACTGCTTTTAGGATGCTTTAACTTTAATTTTACATGCACACTGGAACACAGAAACATGCCTAGGAGTAAGGAAAGGAGGTGAAAGGCAGCAATAAAAGCAAACATGGAAGTTATGAACTTAAACCCAGATGAAAAAAGGTTTCAACAATCCCATGTTTATGAAATTTACTTAAAGCTGTAATCTAATTAATTAATCTTTTTTTGCTCATTATTTTTAGTACAAAAAAGCCAGGTAATGTAGTAATATGCAGATTAGCATGTTACTGGAGGAATGAGTCTCCAGTAATAGTATGGCCTGAAATCAAATGATTTTTAAACAAAATTATGTCTATTTAAAAAATGAATCAGTCAGTTTTTAGGTAACCACAATGCAGAGCAGAATGGATACAAATTCTCTGGTAGATAATGGTATGAACTGCTGCATACTGAAGAAGCTGGAAATAGGAAATAGCTTTGGTAATCTGCCTCTGGGGGCTGAAGTTGGCATGATGGACATAATGGGTCTGAAGCCAAGAAACAGGGTAAGACAGATTTTTGGACTGCCCAACTTACCTTCTGTTAAAAGCACAAGTCAGTTCAAGTGTTTTCCAATGATGATGGAGCTGACAATGAGCAGAAACAGTTCAGAAAGTGAGGGGATGTGTCACTGAGAAAGGCTTTAGTGGGTGTGGTGCATTAGGTCAGAGGCTGGACTTGATGATCTTGGAGGTTTTCCAACCCTGATGATTCTATGTTAGACGGATTGCAGGCATGTAGTGGAACCACAGGTGAGAAATCTGATGTGCTCATCACAAAAGGTGGAATTGCACGAATTCTTGTCAATGGCTCTAGTGTAGCTATGTCTTTTGAAACAAAAAACCTCAAAATCAGAGAATGATAGCAGAAGTCTATTAGTTTGGTGAGTCTGTAGGATATTGTAGGGTTGAATTTGCATATTAAAAGGGATCTTTTTAAAGCATTTTATGTTTTAACATTCTGTGCATGGTTAAAGCTTTTAAGTACTACTAGAAGTTGTGACCAGATGGGTGGGCAGCCCTGCATATGGAAGTATTTAACTTCTTCAGAATAGCTTGGAGAACAAATGCTGATAGTACTGGTTTATTTCTGCTGATAATAGCTGACAGTTTTTTCACTTCATCAATAAGGTTTCATTTAAGTAATGAAGATATTCTAGATGAGCTGATTGAGGAATGTATGATGTGTGATTTGGATAAAATTAAATGACAAGAGGAAAAAAATCTGTATGTAACTGAGGATTTCAAAGCTCAATACTCTACAGATGTGAATCAATGTACCAAGGAAGCCCTGAAACTTAAACATGGAAAAGGTCTGGAACTTCCTTATTCAAAAGCTTTAACACTCTGTGGTATTAATACCTGGAAAAAAGAAAGAAGCATTGTAGAAATAATGTAACTGGATCAATAGCCACATAATCAAAGGTAAATTAGCAGAATGTAAAAAGATTGCAGAAAGGACTGACGGGCATAGAAATGTATGCAAAAGAGTTAGAGAAAGAAAGGAGTAAGGTGAATTAAAGTCAAGCGGAGCTAGACCTTGCACTGGATATTAAACATGATAAAATTAATTACCCTTAAGCAGTTTTAGAAACAAACTCCTAAGAACAACATGTAGTCACTGTTCAGGGATTAAATGTATTGCTCTACAAAAAAAAGGAAATATTTTATTCTGTCTTCATTGGAGGCATTGGTGCTGATTGTGGTGAGAAATGGAGTTTGCATAGTAGGAATAAGTCCACAATCTTAATAAAAACCATTGCAGCTGTGATCCAAGGAGTGTGGTGCAGTGAAGGGTGTGACCAACAGTTCCTTGGCCAGAAAGATACTGGCTCGTGAAGTCTCATACCTGACCATATGGCAGCAAATACACAGTGATTAGGGAGCAGGAATAATGGCCCAATTATTTATGGGTACATTAGCTCTACCTTGAGGCTTGAGAACAACTTGTAAAGGAAATCCTTCCTGAAGCTGCAAATGAATGCTTGACTGATGGCAGCTTTGGTTCTGAGCGTGGGCTGTCGCAGGACGGCAGCGCTGCAGGCAGTGCGCACACACACACACACACACACACACACACACACACCCCTCCTCAGACACCACGTGTTCTTAGGGGCCACTTTACCCCAGCTTTGGGCTGGAACACT